AGTACTTCTTTATTTATTTATTTTTTGGTGTCACTGGTGTTTGAACTCATAGCCTCATACTTGCTAGGCAGGTGCTCTACCACTTGAACCACTCTGCAGCCCTTTTTTGCATTGGGTGTTTTTCAAGATAGGGCCCAGGCGGGCCTTGAAGCCACTCTCCTCCTGATCTCTGTCACCAAGTAGCTAGAATTACAGGTGTGAGCCACCAGCGCCTAGTTCCGCAATACTAATTTTTCAAAGAAGGAGAATTATACAGTCTAGTGTTTTATTTCAAGGAAATGCATAGCTCACCATTTTCTAGAAACTTTCTGCTTTATTGAGAAATGAGTTAAAAATCCTCTTTGTTTTTACTTTATAATAGTAATGTTAGTATAGTTAGTCCCAGTTAGCCCCACCCAGCAGTAGCTGTATGTGTGGAAGACATGTCTATACTAATCTTTATCTTTTTAAATAACCATGCTTAAAAAAATTGGCAACTAGAGAAGAAATGTGTTACCAATAGTATAGTCAACCTGATTATAAATACTGTTAGTATGTTGGTTTAACATGTTTCCTTTTTCCTTTGCTTTTTTATTCTCTTTTTTTTTTTTTTTTTTGATGAGACTGGGGTTTGAACTCAGGACTCCAAGCTTGCAAAGCAGGCACTGTATTGCTTGAGCCACACCTCCAGCCCTTCCTTTGCTTTTTTTAGGAGGGAGGGCAGTGCTGGAGATGGAATCCAGGGCCTTAGCACGTGCTTGCTACACAAGCTCCGAGCAATATCCCCAGATCCCCTTTGCATTTTAAAACATAGTTATAAGCACTTTTAAATCGCATTATTAACAATATAAGAGTATGTTAATTTTTATTGCATAATAGAATATTTTTAATATTGAAGAAAAGATATTGCATAATAGAAGTTATAGTTGTAATATTGAAAATTAATTTAAAATGAGGCTGAGGTATTTTCATATACTAAAGATAAATTTCATGGCTCATTCACTGCTTTTTTTTTGGTTTAGGTCAAACTTTGATGAAATCGTAAGTCTGTGCATGTCAATCTTTTATTTCATAAGCATGGTAATTAAATGAAAATCCAAAAGCTAATTTCTAAATTAGAGTTTAAAACTGAGCTCCCTGAGATTTCTCCTATGAGAAGTAATTTATAGATGTACAAAATTTTGTAGGTGTTTTGGTTCTTACTGTCTTTTTAGAGTAGAAAAGTATGGAAGAAAGGAAAAGGGGAGAAAGGAGTAAGGTGGGAATTACATCCCAGAACAATGCCTCTGTACGCTGCACAGATTTGGCTCCTAGCTCTGTACGGGTGGTGATCAGCGTGCACACAGCCGGAGTGGGGGCTTCTAGAACCGAACAATGTTTTACTCTATTCTCCTTCCTCAAGATGCAGCCAAGTTTCCAGCCAGTAGTAAGTTCTTAACAAACACTTGATGAGCAAAGGAAGAGAGGAAATTGTGCGTACAGCAAGCATGAGGGAGAAAAGCATTATATCAGGATGCTTTCAGTTGTAAGCTACAGAATATCAGGTACAAGTGGCCTAAACAGTAAGGACATCTTTGTTTCATATGACATAAAGTTCAGCATCAGGGCAGTCTCAGAGTTGGTTATGCAGTTGAACGGTGTCATAGAGGATCTGGATGTTTTCCATTTTTGTACTCAAGCCTCCTCAGCATAGTAGTGATTTCTTCTGCTCTCGTGGTAAGATGGATGTAGGGGTCCAGATATCATTTGCAGACAAGGCCATATCCATCAAAAAGAGGTGATGGTTTCTCCTGTGAATCTCAGCTTATTACAGAGAAAAATCCATCACAGGTGCTTTCAGCTGACTTCCACTTGGATCCCTTTGGGCAGGCTGGGTTCACAAATCCATGCCTTAGCTGACAAAGCCTACTGGGGAGAAACCAACAGTATCTGGCATAGAGAGAGCAGAGGAAGCAGTCATGGAAAAGGAGAAGGATGTGCCATTGAAGATGGGTAGAAGCTGGATGAAATAGCCTGTGGAATATGTAACATGCATTACGTATTCTGTTGCATTCTTACCTGTTTATGAACTGGCATATATCTAATGCACGTATGAAGGTAGCAGGACAATATCATTTCTAAGGAACAGTGTGTGCCGCTCAGAAGCAGATCCAGACTTTGTGGGACTATATACATTTGGCAATGTAAAGAATACGAAACTGCAAGTATAGCTGAGTGCTAGTGGCACTTGTCTATAAACCTAGCTTCAGGGAGGCAGAGATTGGGAGAATTGCAGCTTGAGGCCAGCCTGGGCAAGAAGTTTGTGAGACCCCTATCTCAACAGAAAAAGTTGGATCTGTCATCCTAGCTATTGTGGAAAGCATAAATAGGAGGACTGTGGTCTAGGCCAGCCTGGACAAAAAAAAAGTGAGACTCTATTCCAAAAATAACCAAAGCAAAAAGAAAATGTGGCTCAAGCAGTAGAGCACCTACCTTGCAAGCACAAAGCCCTGAGTTCAAACCTCAGTACTGCCAAAAAAAAAAAAAAAAAAGCAAGTACAAAGTTGCTAGGTTCAGTGCAGGCCCTTGGGAACTTACTGCCTACCTTCCGTCTCCTCACATTGAACATCACTACTCTAGAGAGATTAGAAATCAGCTCAGGACAGGACTGACTAATAAGTCTGCAGAGCAATTTGCTTTACTGTTAGCATTGTAGTACACAAGGGATGGAGCATCTGGCGCTCTAGCAAACATTCAACAAACGTAACATAAAATATAGAGGGATTATAAAAATGGTAATAGATGTTTTTAAAAAAGAACCTTGAGTTTTTGTTAATAGCACTTTATTTTGTGGTTCATGGTCTTAAGGCTTTCTGTACTTTTTCTTTTCCTTTTTTCTTGGCAGTATTGGGGTTTGAACTCAGGGCCTTGCTAAGCAGGTACTCTACCACTTGAGACATGCCCCTAGCCCTTTTTTGCTTTAGTTATTTTTTGAATAGGGTCTCATGCATTTTACCTTGGCCGGCCTTGGACTGCAATCCTCCTACCTATACTTCCCACATAGCTGGAAACAGAGGCATGCTCCACTGTGCCCAGCCCCCTAGTAGTACTTTTAAAGAGCTGTGGTTTACTGTTAGAACCCATGTATGAAAGTGAGGATTAATTAATCCTCACACTCTCTTGAGGTACATGTAAAATTAATACTAGCATATAACACCTGTTTAATTTGTATTAAAGTGAATTTTTAAGGAACATGGAATAAGTAACAGAAAAAATGAGTATTGTATTTAGAAATTGCAATAAAAAAGCAAAACCAAGCTGGGCACCAGTGGCTCACACCTATAATCCTAGCTAATCAGGAGGTAGAGATCAGGAGGATCAAGTTTCGAAGTCAGCCTGGGCAAATAGTTCATGAGACCCTAACTTGAAAATACCCGTTACAAAAAGGCTGGCTAGTGGCTCAAGGTGAAGGCCCTGAGTTCAAGCCCCAGTACCACCAAAAAAAAAAAAGCAAAACCAAACCCCCCAAAAAAAAAATTACATGCATTATACTTCATACTCTCTTCTCAATTCCCTTGGGTGATCTCCTGTGGCACCTGCTGTCCTGTGGGTCTTCCTGCTACTCCATCCTTGGAGATTGCTTCCAAGGAACCCATTACATTGCTAGGTGGATACCCCAGTCTTTCTGCTATTTTCTTCTTTTTAATTTTTTTTCTCTCATCTATCTTTGGCTCTTAAGATTATATATGAACTTCCCATCATATTCCATATTTCACAGCAGATTTAAAAAATTAAAACATATTTGCTAATGAATGTAGTGTTAATTCACAGATGTGTGTCATTGGCATCAGAGTTGATGGAGCCTGGCACATAGTAAACTTCCATTCATGCTTGTTTAATGAAAGAATGAGTAAACCATTTATACAACATTGATACTTCTAAGGTAATTATGATAACTTAAGGAAAACAAATTGTGGACACTGATTTATATTTGATAACATTTAGAAAATGTGATACTACCAATCTTTTAAAAAATTAAACATTGTACTTTCTTCACATTAAAGACTTTAAGTGATGTGGTAAATAGCTATTTTAACTCGACAAGACATTTATATATTGCTAAGGCACTACAAATCTGGGAAAATAACAGAACTTGGAAGGAGGAGATGGTAGAAATGGGTGTATGTGATTCAATGAGAGTCCACAAATACAGTGAAAGTAGAATCGTAACTGCGCATGGTGCTTTATCCTTCTGAAAAGACAGTTTTTTGCACATATAGTACATGGGTCTGCCTGGCTGTCTCTCATCCTCTATAATTTAAAATGTGTTAATAGTTGCTATTCCTGGTCATACAAGTAAATCAACATATGTATTAAAAAGGGAGTTACATGTAACACGATTAGGATAAATTTATTCCTTTATCTAAACACTAACATTTATATATATGTATGTTGATCAGTTGTAAATCTTGTTTTTTAAAGTGTTTTTAATGTACAATGAAAACACAACTTTTAATTTTGTATAAAGTGATTTAAAAAATCTTTTAAAAGTATTACAAGGTGAAAGGAATTTAAAAATTGACATTATTGGCACAAGATTCACGCTAATGTTTACTCACGTAAATAGCACAAAATACTGACTAATTAGTGTGGTTGGTAAATTTTTGGTACTTTAATTTTCTCTGTTATTGTAAACCATGCATAAAATGCTTGCCTATTGAGAAGTGCAGAATTGTCAGAGCTTAAACAGCTGACATCTGCTTACTCTCTTAAAAAAAAAAAAAAGAATAACAAGCCATTTCAGCCTAATCTACCTCAAATGTGTTCATGTAAATGGAGGTCCATCTATTGACCTGTGTTCTTTTCAGCTCGGGATTGGTCCACATGGTTTATGAAACCAGGAAGGCTGATTTGAAATGCAGATGTCGAGAGAGTGAAGTACACCCTCCCCTTTTTTCTTTGCTGTATCTGTCAGGGTGAAAAATGGCTTGCACAAGGGTCAGTCACCCATACTCACTTAATTACTTTTCTTGGACCCACAGAACTGTCACAAGCTGTGGTGGATGCGGGAGCTGTTCCTCTTTTAGTACTCTGTATCCAGGAGCCAGAAATTGCTTTGAAAAGGATTGCTGCTTCGGCCCTCAGTGATATTTCAAAGCATTCTCCAGAGTTAGCGCAGACAGTGGTGGATGCAGGGGCTATTGCTCACTTAGCCCAGATGATCCTCAACCCTGATGCTAAGTTGAAGGTATTTAAAAACAAGGCTAAGAGACAAACAAACCAGTCTTCTTAGAATCTAAGAAAATGGAAATACACACAGGTTGATATTATATACCTAAAAATAATTAGTAAACTACCATTGAAAATAGATACAAATATATTATGTATTTGATCTTTTAATATGCAGAAATAATGCTGCAAGGATTGCTCAATTAAAATGTGATTAGGAAAATTATATAAATGCTGAAAATTAGAAGTAACTCCACTGTTAGATTAATAATTATAATGAGTGAAATCTCAGTGTTGAGAGGACCTAAAGATTTCCTAGCCCAACACTATATTTTTCTTATGAAAATTGTCACGTTTATATTAGCCCTTCTCATAGCTTTCTAAAATCTGATTTTCAGTTAGTAATCACCAATTGTACTTCTATATAAAATTTTTAAATTGTTGACATTAACCAAGCAATAGAAAGGTCTTTGAAATGGTATCAATATCATGCCAAAAAGATGTTATTTCTGCTTAATTATTTTTGTACTAAATTACCATAATGATTACCAAAGTGTATCATAAATTAACACTTTAAATATTGTGTGATTAAGAAATGTTTATTTAAATTCATGTTTTTAATAATCTGCAGGAGATAAAGCTTTTAAATAGTGAAGAACTAATTTGGAAATTAAAAATTTAAAAAATTGTAATGCTAGGAAGTGAAAGTCTTAAGACTCAGAAATTTTAGGTTTTGTTAGGTATGTAATTTATTTCCTTTTTATAAAGGAATTTGAATATGTATAAAAAGCTGTTTATATTATATCTGAGCTCTCCTGGACTAGTGAGTTCTATATACTGTTTCATTTTCTTTTTTGTTTAACAGCGTCAGGTCCTTTCAGCTCTTAGTCAGATTGCAAGACATTCTGTGGATCTGGCAGAAATGGTCGTTGAAGCAGAGATTTTCCCAGTTGTACTTACCTGTCTGAAGGACAAAGACGAATATGTGAAGAAAAATGCTTCTACTTTAATTAGAGAAATTGCAAAACATACACCCGAGGTAAAAAACAAAAACAAAACACCAATTTGCTTACAGAGCCCAGGGGTTGTACCACAGGATCTGTTAGGTCAGGGTTTCTCATCTGCAGCGCTATTGACATTTCTGACTAGGTAATTCCTTGCTGTGGTGAGCTAGGCCATGCATTGTAAAATGGGCGTTTGCCAGTATTCTTAGCTTCTGCCCCTAAATGCCAGTAGCACCCCTCCCCCCATGTGGTGACAATCAAAAACAGCTCCATACATTGCCAAATGTCCTCCAAGGTACAAAATTGCCCCTGGTTGAGAACCACTGAATTATATTAATGAGCTTTGAGTTTGAAATCAGTTTCTAATCATTTCCAGATTCCCATTCCTAGACTGTGGGGACTGTGGACCTCTGCTATCCTTATCATTTTATGTCAGCTGGGAGCAGTGAGAATGATATTACATCTTTAGGTTGCGACAGACCACGAAAGTCCCCTGGCCTAGTGTGCCCACCCTAATAGCTGCTCTCATATGGCTCTGAGTTCTTAGATGTGAAAGAAATAGAGACAAAGTAAGCCTGTGTTGTTTCTGAAGTTGTATCCTTTTCCTGTGTATATTTTTGATTAATCAATTTTCATTTCATTATACATTAAAAATCTTTATTCTTTATTTAATGTAACAGCTTTATTTGGTTGAGATTTTTAAAATGTAGTTAGCTAGTAACATTGCTAGCAAAGGGGGATGATTGTGCTACACTATTTTAAGTCTGACATTGTCTTATCACGTTCAGTGATTTATCTGCTTCATACTCACACATCGTATTAGCTACTTATGAACCAGCCCTAGGCTCAGTATTTAGGTGAGGATTTTTGACATCCGTTATGATAGGGATAAAAGTTGTGCCATCAATGCATGAAAAATTGAACTACAGAGCACAGATCCTCCCAGTAAGTACATTTATGCATTTGAGATAGCAGGATTATTATACTTGTACATTTCTTCAGAAAATACAATTTCTCTAAATGGTATTTCAATTTTACCAGTTGTTTTTGGGTACTAAATAAAGTGTGGCCATATTAAACTCATATTTAAAGAGCATCTTATGCTTTCTGGGCTCTTGTCATTTCTCTCAGCTTTCACAGCTGATCGTTAATGCAGGAGGAGTCGCTGCTGTCATCGATTGTATTGGTTCCTGCAAAGGGAACATCCGACTGCCTGGTATCATGATGCTTGGCTATGTGGCCGCTCATTCTGAGAATCTAGCAATGGCAGTGATCATTTCCAAGGTGAGTGCTTGCTTCATTTCTCCTGGTTCTTGCAGTAACATATTCTAAGATGGAACCACAGGTGATACCTTCCCACAGAATAGGAAATATAACTGGCCAGACCAAAAGAATTACCTGAAAATACATTCAGTAGTTTCAATGGTTATTAGTAAGTTTTCCAAAGAGATCCTTGAACAAAGGTTTAGGTATGGGAAATATAAAGTTTTACTCACTGTTTAGTATTTTGATATTTAAGCATTAAGTATATGTGTATCTTGAAGGATTAATTGTGCATATTTACAAACATGTAAAGCACGTTTTGGTTAAAAACAGCTATTATAAATGGCATACCCAATAGTCATTTTCACTACTCTCAGAGGTCTGCACATTCCCCCTTGCCTGTTACTTGGGTAGGAGATGGCAATGGCTAGAACATCTCTTTTTAACATGTTTTCTCAGTCAGTTCCCATAATGTAATTTCTCTTCTTAAACATGGCAGTCAGAGTGCATGGCAGATGGCAGTGTTTTTTGTTTCCTTATTCTGGAGATTTTGCCTTATCTGTTTTCAACTTTACATGAATCCACCATATAGTGCAGTCCAGGCACATAGTAGGTGCATACAAAATATATATTGGTGCATAATCTCCTGAAGACTGCTTCAAAAGCTGTGTGTAGCAATAGGGTGTGGACTTATCAGCATAGAAAACCTGCTGTGGTATGTTAAACAGAGATGTGGATTTTTTTTTTTATCCCTTGCTAATCCTCAGAATAAAAAGGAGCCTCAGATCTTTATTTTCTACCTATTCCACCATAATTCTGTGCTTTGCTCCCTTTATCCTTTTGTTCTTCTGTTACCACAGCCTGTGACAGTGACTAGAACAATGGTGGAAGGGTCACTGTAAGGATGTTACTGGAACATTTGATCCTCAGCTCCTTTGTGGATAATCAGAAAGCTACCACATAGCGAATGATGAAAGCAGCAGCAGTGGCTTGTGCATCCTAAGCGTCCTCCTCAAGCTAACCTGAAGGCTCTCCCCTTCTTTGGTCTAGGGCTGCTGCCAGCCTCTCCCACCTGATTTGTTTTTCAGTTAGTTGAAGATCAAGGTGGCAGCAGGAGTCTGAGGCAAACCACACAGTAGAAGCATTCCCTCCTTTTCCTACATAGTACTATAGGGACTAGTGATAACAATAGCTAAAACTTAATGATGTACCTTCTGAAGCACGTTCATGCTCCTTGTCTCATCTATTTGACAGTGGGAGCCAGTGAGGCAGAGCTTGGTGGGGGGGGGGGTGTGCTCTACTTTTCTTCCTCTTCCTTAGTCTTGTTATATTCTAGAAATAGGGCTTTGTAGAAAGTTACTTCATTCTGAAGACAGGTCTGACCTTTTGTATTGGCAGACATTCATTTTTAGTTGTAGGAAAGGAGCCAATGAAGAAATGTGGCAGAACTCTTTAGGAAATTGCTTTTAATAACCAAATTAGAAGGTGAAGGGGAAAAAAGTTTATGATGAACGTGGCCTTTGCCCATAGTAGCATGACCATATGATACTGGTTTTTGTGGAACTAAATTCAAGGTAATTACTATAGGCTCAAGTTAGAAAATTATGCCTATTTGGAATCTGGAATTAGTATTTGATTTGGTTATTTGATTCTCCTGTCAGTATGTAAACTGTGATGTATTTGAGGCCTCTAGATAATTGTATTTTCATTATTTAGATAAAATTGAAGCCTAAGATGCAAAAGTAATTGTTTCAATATTTAAATGTAATTGTTTCATGCTAAAGTGAGCAAGACTATAATTTAAAAGTTGTTGAAAATTAATGGAAAATTATTTCAAGAAAGATATTAGTGGAATATGTTCCATCTAAAAAAGTACTTGCTATATTGTTCATTTGGTTTTGAGACCGCAGTAGTTATTTTGTTCCGAGATTTGTTATACTTGGTGAAAAGGTAATTTCTTTAAAGATTCCAAATTAACTTTTTGTGTGTGTGATGCTGAGGATGCTAGGGCACTGTGCATGGTAGGCAAGTCATAACTTTTGTAACAAAGGAAAAGACAGGCTTTAAGATCCTACACATTTCTAGTTTGCCACAGATCCTAAATATTTTTAGTTTGTCACAGTGGAATCTGGTTTTGCCTAGCCCATGGCATCTGTTGTTTGGTTAAATGTCCCTCTATTTGTGGGGTAGAAGCTAGTAAAGATATTCCTAGCTAAGTTGGATTGTTACAGATAATTAAGGTAATTTAGTTCTAGTCATTTTATTGACTCAAGAAATGACAGCCCCTGTGATGTGCTCATTTATTGACCCATTTAGGAAAAAAAAGGATCAAGGCAGAAATGATTTTTTCTAATGTTTGAAAGACACGGAAGACGCTTTAATCCCTCTCTAGATTTATAACACTTGTTCTTTTGATCACTGCTGCAGGGTGTACCCCAATTGTCAATCTGCCTGTCAGAAGAACCAGAAGATCATATTAAGGCTGCTGCTGCTTGGGCCTTAGGACAGATTGGGAGACACACTCCTGAGCACGCACGGGCTGTCGCTGTCACAAATACGTTGCCAGTTCTGCTGTCCTTGTACATGTCAACAGAGAGTTCTGAGGATCTGCAAATGAAAGTAAGTACTTAAGTCTTAACGGTCTTAATAAAGATTTGTTAATGTTGACTCATTTTTATAAAATGTATGATTTAAAATATTTTAATTTTCTTGATGGACAATATTGCTTTTATGAGTCAAGAAATACAAACTTATTAGAAGAACTGAAAATGGGTTACCCTTGTGTCTCAAAATCAGTGATATATTTTACTTTTTTGGTTGAACTGGGGTTTGAACTTAGAGCCTCATGCTGCTAGGCAGGCACTGTACTACTTGAGCCATATACCCAGCTCAGTGATATAGTTTAAAGAAAGCTCTATGGGTACAAAGTTGTTTGTAAAATGAATGTCTGGTTATTGCATTCTACATTCCAATAGAAATTTGGAACTGAAGAGTAATAGAATTTTTCAGTTGGAATTTGCTGGAGGGAGCTTTGTTCATTTTATGTTAAAAAATTGAATCCAAAGGAATTTAAGAATTTTTTTTAAAGGTATAAAGTAACAAGTTGGTATTTCTGAAACTATAATTCACCTCTCCTAACTTCAAGGTTGATGTTTTCATTATTTGTCTATATTAGTCCCTTAAAAGATTGTTATAAGATTCACTAAATCAAACATTTTAAGTCATGGATTTTTTTCAAAGGCAAGTTTTATGAAAAATATTTCTGGCTACTAAAGTGATTCATGAACAAATATAAAGTAGGATGGGTTATTTAATAATTTTGTAATTTCAAAGAAAGAAAACTGTTTTCCAGCACATTTCCTATTAGGAAAACTTACAACTTTCTGAATTGACAGACTGTGGGAAGTTTACAGAAAAGGCAATAATTCAAAATAAAATTAACAAAAGTAAATTAAATTAAATTTTGGGCTGGTAGAGTGGCTCAAGTGATAGACTGCCTGCCTAGCAAGTGTGAGGCCCTGAGTTCAAACCCCAGTAACACCCCAAAATAATAGGACAAATAAAAATTTACCTAACACAGTAAACTAACATAAGAAATTAGATGATATAATGAGGCATGAAATTTACTTGGACTTAAAAGTTTAGGGACTTTGAAACTACTGTATAATGAATAATTTATTTGACTTCCAAATTTTATAAAGGTGGGGCTGCTGAAGTGGCTCAAGTAATAAAACACCTACCTCAGAAATGTAAACTCTGAGTTCAAATCCCAGTACCTCCAAAAAAACCCCAAAACCTTTTCATGAAAGTGAATTTATTTTTGTTTGGTTATATTACATGTCTTTTTTCTACAAATTCATTGAGGGAAGTTAATTTCCAAGGTGAACATTTAAAATGTTTATGAGACTCAGATCAAAGCAGTGATTTAATAGATTGAAGGGTTCTGACATTGCCTCTGGTTTTGAGGCAGTGTGAGAATGTCGGCAGCACTTGGTACAGAGAAGATTGACAGGTCTTTTCTAGTTCAGCAGGTCTCTGATTCTTTGTATTTCCAGTGAGAAACCATAGCTCCATTTCCAGTTTTGATTTGTCTAGGTGCAATGATTTACATGTATATGACCTTAATCTACATATGTCATCTTCTTTTGACCTTATGTTTCTTTAACATATTGTCTCATTGACTTCTTTCTCCTTCCTCGTCTGCTCCCAGCCCGTATGAACTTCCTGGTCTTTCCTCATCAGTCCTTTTCACCTCTCACTCCCCTCCCCTTATCTCCAATGGTCCAAAGGCTCTTGGCCACCTCTGCAGGCATAAGTTGTGCCCAGACTATAATAGTAACTATGTTCAGCTTAGAGGTCATTAACAGATAATTAGTTAATATTGTAAAATAATCTTTATCCTTTCAGATATCTACATTTGCTATCTTTTAATTTCCTTTAAGTTTTGGAAATTAAAGAATTCGTGAGCTAAAGTCAGGTGTGGTGGTGCTTGCCTGTAATCTCAGAACTTGGGAGGCTGAGGCAAGAAGATCATGAGTTTGAGGCCAGCCTGGGCTACATAGTGAGACCCTGTTTGAAAAAATGCATAAGCTAGATGATGAATGATTAATAGTGTAGCAGTAGTAATTATAGCTTGAGAACCTCTTGTAAATAGTCACTTAAGTAGCACTATATTCTTTTTCTATACTACTAAGTTTGTATAACTTTTTTTTGTGGTGCTGAGGATTAAACTCAGAGCCTTGTATGTGCCAAGCCAGCTCTATACCACTGAGCTACATTTCAGCTCCTATAACTTGGTTTTTAATGAATTATTATGGAGTTTATTGTATAACCATCACTGGAGTAAAATAAATTTAAAATTTTCACTTTTTAATGTAAGATAACCTTTATTGCATTTTAGTTCATCAAAAGTGGCTTTATCAGGTTAACTAATAAAAATTTAGTTTCTTCTGCTTATGTTTGATGCAGTATTAACTTTTAGAAAATACACTGGGTATAAAATAAAAGTGGGATATTTAGCAATATTATCCTGGCAGCAATCTTTGTAAGACTTTAAGTTCATTTCTTTCTTCCCTTCCCTTTCTTCCCTTTCCTTTCCCTTCCCTCTGTTCATTCTTCCCTCCCTCCTTGCCTTTGTTTCTTTCACTAGGAATTGAACCCAGAGCAGAGCTATACCCCCAACCCCATCGAAATATTTTCTTACTGTAGGGACTTTTGATCATTCTTTTTTCTTCTCCAATGTCTCTTGGATTATATCAGTTGTTGTTTTAAAGGCTTTAGAATGATCTTCAGTCAAGTCTGTTGGACTTGACACTTTCAATGGAGAAAAGTGTATCTCAGAACAACAGGACCTGTCTAGTGGTACTTCTCATTTGTTACTCTGGCAGCTTTCACATTATAAGCCCATGTTGAAGTTCATTTTGTCCCAAAGGCATGTCAGCTTCAGTAAACCCTCTCTAATTGGTTCCAATCTGGAAGAACCAATGAGCAGCCTCTTAGAATTTCTTCCATGTTGTTTCCACAGCCTTACTACTTGCCTGCTTCTATATTTTTTCCAAATACCTTGATTAAAAAACTGAAAAAAAAATGTCTTTTATCTGATAAGATTATCTGTATGTGTTATGAAAATATTTGGGCCTTTTATTTATTTTGATTTGTGTTTTTGGGGTCATAGTTTTTCCTCCATTTTTTATCAGCTTTTTAGAGATACGATTTATATACCTTACAATTTATCCATTTAAAGTCTACAGTTGAACTGAGCATAGTGGTGCATGTCTGCAATCCTAGCACTCAGGAGGCTGAAGCAGGAGGATCACAGGTTCAAGACCAGCCTGGGTTACATAACAAGACCTTGTCTCAGAAAAATAAGGGCAGGTAATGTAGAGTGTTTGCCTAGCATGCACAAGGCCATGAGTTTGATCCCCAACATTGCCAAAACAAAAATGAAAGCAAAAACAAAACAAAACAAAAAAACTGTATACCACAAACTGATTATAGACCATCCTGATTTCCACATAAGAAATGGTTTGCCCATTTGCCATCATTTTATATCCCTCTGCCTTAATTCATTTTCTATCTCTGTGGATATCCCTCTTTTGGATATTTCATTTAAATGGAATCATACAATACATGTGGCTTTTTGTGCCTGATTTTTTTTTTACTACTCAGTCTGAGTTTCAAGGTTCCTCCCTATGGTATATATCAATATTTTGTTCCTTTTTATGGCCAAGTAATAATATACTATTGTATTAACATACTAGGTTTATCCACTCACCAACTGATGGATGCTGGATTATTTTTATTCTTTGACTATTATGAGTAATGCTTCTGTGAATATTATACAACTTTTCGTGTGGATATATGTTTTCATTTCTTTGGGATATATTCCCAGGAGTGGAACTATGGGGTCATTGACTTAGCAAGTGTAAGACCCTGAGTTCAAAACTTGAACTGCCAAAAAATATAAAGAGATCTTTAAACTCAGTAATAGGAAGATTACCCAATTAAATAATGAACAAAAAATTTGAATAGGTATTTCATCAAAGAAGATATATAAAATGGCCAAATAGTATATAAAAGGTGTTCAACATCTTTAGTCACTAGGGATATGCAAAATAAAACATATTACTTCACATCCAGAGTGCTATAATTAATAAGGTAAACTAATAACAAGTGTTGACCACTATATAGAGAACCTTAAACCCTCTTACATTGCTAGTGGGAATGCCACATGTTGCAGTCATTTTGAAAAAAATGTCTGGCAGTTTCTCAAAATATTAGCCATAAATTTAACATTATTACTAAACAACTCTACTCCTAGATATCTATCCAAGAGAAATGAAAACATTTGCCTATACCAAGGCTTTTATGTAAATCTTCACAGCAGCATATTCACAGTAGTCAAAAGTAGAAACAGTACACATATCCATCCACTGGTGAATAGGTGAACAAAATGTGGTAAATCCATAGAATGGAATTCTATTTGACAATGAAAAGGAAAAAATTACCGAACATGCTACAACTTGGATGAACTTCACAAATACTATACTTAGTGAAAGATACCAGCAAAAGTTTACATATTGCATGATTGATTAAAAAGAATTGTTCAGAAAAGCCACATTTATAGAGACAGAAAGTAGATTAATAGCTGCCTATAGATGGGGGAAGGGGAGGAGAGAGAGGGAGGGAACAGGGAGTGATTACAAATGGTCATGAGGTTCTTTTGGTGATGATTAAAATGTTCTACAATTAGATTGTGGAGATAATTGTATAATTCTATAAATTTACTAAAAGTCATTGAATTGTGTCTTTAATATGAGTGCCTTTATTATATGTAAAGTATATTTCAATAACATTGTTAAAAATTTTAAGCTCAAAAATAGACATGTAAGTAAAACCTTAATGTTTATTTCATGCTGGAAATACATCTGGTTATTAATGATGACATGTGTTCCTATCTAAAAGAACATAGTTATAAATTGAGTGTATTTCTAACAGATGAAAGATAGTGAAGTTCAATTAATTTCTAGGATCATTAAAGTTTTTCTGAGAGTTCTTGACACTACATTATTAATTTGGAATTAGAGTAAGTCTGATAGTGTGACACAGTAGATATGTTTTCTATACAGTTATGAGGTCTTGTCACCAATAGCAGTTAAGTCAGATTTGTTAACCTGCTAAGGCCACCAAAATCTTATGATGGTTCATGAGGTACAGGATAACCAGGTGTTGGGGAGTTTAATTCTAACTTACATTACTTGTGGGAAATTGTTGAGCTATATTTCTTATTAAATCTATTTTACTTTTGAGGAGGCAGAACTGGGAATTGAACTCAGTGCCTCACACTTACTAGGCAAGCACTCTATCACTTGAGCCCCTCCACCAGCCCTATTTTGTGTTAGTTATTTTTTCACAATAGGGTCTCTCAGTTGTTTGCCTGGGGCTAAGTCTGAACCTTGATCCTCCTGATTTCTGCCTTCTGTTGCTAGGATTACAGGCATGAGCCACCATGTCAGCCTAATTTAATTTATAAAACAATGTTTGAGAACAAATGTGTCAAGAGGTAAGAGGTTATACCTTGGCTATATTTCTACCCCAAAGTCATACCAGCATCTCTGCAAATGCTCGTTGAATTTGAGCACTGTACACATTTCTGGCTGCATGCATATGAACCATGAAATCTTTTGGAGAAAGGTTAGGCATAGTAGTACCTGCCCATAATCCAGCTACTGGGGAGGAAGACATTAGGAGGATCATGGGTCTAGGCTGCCCTAGGTAAAAAGTTAGTGAGACCCTCATCTTATTTAATAAGCCAGTGTGGTGGTGTGGCCTGTAACCCCATAAATGGGAGGATCAAGGTCCAAGGCCACTCTGGGCAAAAATGTAAGATCCTGTCTTAAAAATAACTAAAGCCAAAAAAGAGCAAGAGGCATAGCTCAAGTTAGTAGAGTGACTCCATAGCAAATATGAGGCCCTGAATTCAAGCCTCAGTATAGCCCCCACAAAAATCTTTTGGAGAATAAAGAATGACTGATAGTCTGTGATAAGCTATCATCTTATAGTTGTTGATACAAAGAAATAGAATGTATTAGTTACCTGTTTCAAATATATGAATTTTTATACAAATATCACACATATTAATCTGTAGTTATAATTTTAATTTCCTCATAGATATTTTAAGAACTCAATAATTCATTGTACATTTTCAGGTTTTCCATGGAAACAACCAATAGGGTATTTTTATGGTAAAACCAGTCAAAGATAGAAGTTTTTCAGGCAACTATTTTAAAAAATGAAACAACTCCAGGTTAAACCAGGAAATTGATTTCATTTTCAAATTCTAGGAATACAAGGCATGACTTCTGTCATACGTTTATGTGCATTATGCTTTGTATTTCAATAGAGCAAAAAAGCCATTAAGAATATCCTACAAAAATGCACCTACTTACCAGCCCTTGAGCCGTTCCTGTATGATGCTCCCCCCAATATTCTGAAGCATGTGGTCGGGCAGTTCAGTAAGGTAAGAAATACTCTCTTATTCTCGAGAAGCGAAAGAAAACGACAATGATTTGTTAGCTTGTTTTTTCTGTTTTCTTCTGTAAGATGGATCCAGGTTTCACTACTTATCACTCATCAGTCTATATTGTCAGAGTTAGTGTAGGTTAATCAAATCTGTGATAAATAAAATGCTTCCTCTTCCCTCACATTATTCTCATAGCCTCTGCACTGTTTTGTTTTTGTTTTTTAATTGTTCTCAGGAAGTAAGTAGAATGTAAATACATTAATACCTCACAGTACAGATAATTTATATAGATAAGTATCTTTTAGTAATTTTTCCCAGTGTCTTTTAGTCTCACCTGAGAACACTGAAGATCATAAAAAAGGAAAGGAAATGCTCTCAGATAGTCATTTGGAGCATATTGACTTCTTTTATGAACAATTTTAACAAATATCACTGTCATATTTCTTAGGTCATTGATGATTAAGTGATAGTAAATGGCAGTAAGGCAGAAAGGTCAAGGTCTTCTGCTAGAAGAGGGCAGAGCCAGCAGAGCTGACTACTGATAGCAAAGGATGAAAAAGAATGACCACATTATACAGCTGTGGATGGTTGGGACAGTGGCCCTCAGCTATCAAGAACTGGTTAAATTATACTCTGTATATTTAAGAAAATAGGTCTGTGTAAATCCTGTATCATAGTGCTTATGTGTCTAGGCTTAGGAGCTGGAGTTGGAGTGCCTGCATTTTCCACTTAATAGATTCAAATTTTTTTTTTTTTTTTTTTTTTTTTGGTGCTGGGGATGGAGTCCAGGTCCTCACTATGCTAATGTAAAAAGCAGCCCTATAGTTAAATAGACTTATTTCTAGGTTCTCATCTGAAATCTAGAATACTAACAGCTTTCAGTTCTCTGGATTCACTCTGGATGCTTGGCTGACCCTCAAGCATCATAACTACAGGACATCAAAGGTTTTCTACCTTTGGATACAGTCTGTTCGACAGACACCTATTCTCTGTCTCCTTCCTTCAAAAAAAAATGTCTTTTCCTCTTAGTTAAATGGAGTATAGGAGATAATAGCCTGCCTTCTTGATAAGCCAACTAGTAATGCAGAGAAAAGACTAAAGAAAATTGACCCCATTCTTCACTTTTGTATACTTTTAGGTGCTAAGTAAGAAACTGACTGGCTAACTCAGTCATCTAAGAAGAAATAAGGGACTACTGGATTATCTATAGCAGAGTCATCAGTTCTTAAAAATGGGGAGTTGGCATTTCTGGAAGTTTCATTTTGCAGTATAATCATTTAGGCTAAATGAGTAAGATACTGTAGTTTGAACTATGAAAATGAACACTAACCTATGTTAAGAGTTCAAAATAAGCAAATCAGTAGAATTTGTGGAAGCTAGTCAAATCTCAAACTAAAGAGAGTAGTATGTATATCATATACTATTTTTTTTTCTTTGATGGGTCTGGGGTTTGAACTCAGACCTTTGTACTTCCAAAGCAGGTGTTCTACCGCTTGAGCCACACCTCTAGTCCATTTTGCTCTGGTTATTTTGGAGATGGGGGTCTCGTGAACTAGTTGCCCAGGCTCTCCTTCATCAGTAGTCCTCCAACCTCAGCCTCCCACATAGCTAGGATTACAAGAGTGAACCACTGGTGCTTGGCTAACATCTCACATACTTGCATAAACATGCCTTTGAGAATATTTGCTTCAGGCAGAAATTTTATGTGTGGTTAAAGATGGTTTTTGTTGTTGTCATTTTTCAGTGTTGGGGATCAAATCCAAGACCCTGTGATGCTAGGCAAGCACTCTTCCATTGAGCTACATCTCTATCCCTGTTGTTTTGAGACAGTGTCTCACTGTGTAGCTCAGGCTGACCTGGAACTTGATATTAGCACAGGCTGGCCTTGAACTCATGATCCTGCTGTTTCAACCTCCCAGGTGCTGAGATTACAGATGTGCAATACCATGTAGTGCCTATATTTTCTTAAAGATTCCCCACCCCCATTTTAATTATTTTATTTGTTTTTTTTTGAGACAGTGTCTTTATATATATTGCCCAGGCTGGCCTGAAACTTGCTATGTAGCCCGGGCTGGCCTTGAATTCGAGATCCTTCTGCCTCAGACTTCCACACACTGGGAAGTGTACACTGCCATGCCTGGATCCCCATTTTTAATTATGGAAGTTAACAGACATAAAGTTACTTTATCAAATAGCCATCAGTGTTTCTAAAAGCTTACTCAAGTTTCTCCACTGACTTGACTGATAAAAACGAATGCATTCCCTGGTCTGAGATAGTACTTGGTGTAGCACTGCTTGCCCTAGAGCATTGCCAAGAGCAAGCTCACTGCCAAGAACTTTTAGTCTTTCCTTTCAGGTCAATATTCCACATTCTTAATGGGGAGCCTGACCAACTCAAGCCTGTGTTGGATGTCAGTGAGGACAGTTACTTAGTCCACGCATAATTTGGAAAGATGTAATTTGTGGCCAGCCAAACCTATTAAACACCCCATTTTATTCCCACGTTGTGACTAGCCTTCCCTAGTAGAATCTAGAAATCCACCTTTCCCAGCCTCCCTGGCTACTCATAGGGTTAAGGTTTATTGAGGTTTATTGCCATTCATGCTTGAATTTTTGATTCAAGTGAGCTATGATACAGAGGAAGGCTGGGCAGTGATTTTGCTAATATGGGAATGCCAGGGCACTGAGTTTCTGGAATTGGTAGGAGGACCAACTCCATACCAGACAAGTTCAGTCTTTAAAGGAGGTAGCATTTGAGCTGAGTCTGCAGTGAGGAGCAAGAGTGAATCAGACAAATGGGGATGCTCTGTGGGGAAAGACATTCTAGTGAGAGGAAGCAGCCTGGGAAAAGTGAGAAGTGGCGCAACATGCATGCTCTGTTGTTGTTTAAACAACGTCTAGGATGGAGTGTGTGGATAAGGCAGCTGGAGAGGTATTTAGAAGCTGGGTCTCAGGGGACCCTTTTTGCCTTGTTCAGAAGCTTGCTTTTAATTCTGTAGCTAGTAGAGAGACCTCAAGTGGAGTAAACTTTACATTTTACGTTTATGAGCAGATCTCCATTCCTGTTGCTCATGGTCATTGCCCTTCCTCCATCTCCACAACATAAAAAGCTAATGCACTTCTAAAAAGAGGATTTTACTTCCAACCATCAGCAGATTTTGTTTCTCTATGTGATAGGTATATTGAGTATAAATTCTTTTCTATGTTTTCTCAGGTACATTACTGCTTTTCAAGAGCAGCAATCGCACTTGGAAAAGAAGAGCTGACATTTCTATGTGCTTCTCTTTTCAAGGTGTTGCCGCATGACAGCAAAGCTCGGCGACTCTTTGTAACAAGTGGTGGACTTAAAAAGGTTCAAGAGATAAAAGCAGAACCTGGTTCTATCCTTCAAGAATACATCAACAGCATTAACAATTGTTACCCAGAGGAAATCGTAAGGTGCGGAAAATGGACTTTGAGAAGTTTAATATTACAGTATAGTCTTTTGGTTTTCAGATGCACATATTGCATATGCTATGTCAGAATGTGCACTTTGAGATCCTGCATGAGTTTAGTGTGTCTCTGTACTTCTCTTGACCTCTTTTTCCATGTGAAGTAAATTATGTTCTGACTGACACATTTCCAAGTCAATCTGGAGGGTCATTCAAGATATTTTTGTAGTAATTTAATATACACTTTACTAAAGAATACCCAAATACAGTATTCAAATTAACCTAACAGTTTTAAAATTGTAAATACCTAATTTAGAAGAAGCCTATAGATTCTGATTTTTATAGCTTCCCATGTATAAGTAGAAAAGAGTTTAGTAACAAAAAGAAAGTTGTTATTATCTAAATGTTGAAAATTACAAAACTAATATTTTTGATATGCATCTCAGTAGTGTCACAGGAAGCTATTTTCAAGGTTCAGGGTATTATGGTGATGATGATGATGGACAGTGCTGGGGACTGAGCTGAGCCAGAGTCTCACACATGCTGGGCAAACATTCCAGCTACATCCCCAGCCTAGATCAATAGTTTTTTAAATAAAGTCACTTTGCAGAGCATTAACTAAGAAGGCTTAAGTTAACCTAAAGGAAAACTATACCATTAAGCCCAAACTAAATAATAGCAAAGTTAACAACAAAAAGTACAATGACTTAAATGACTGAGGCTAAAAATGCCCACAAAGCAAACAGAATACAAGGCATACCTTATTTATGTTTTTTTAACCTGACACTCATTTCTTTTTCCACTAATGTTAGAAAATAATTCTAATTTTAAAAATTTACATGTTATAACATATCCTTATATAAATTTGAAATTTCATGTTTATTCTTCATATTTAATGTTAATAGTTTTTAATACATATTACCGTATGATTTTAAAAGCACAAGAATAGTTTTAAGATTAAAATTTATTTTCTAGGGCTAAGCACCAGTGGCTCATGCCTGTAATCCTAGCAGTTCGGGAGGCAGAGATCAGGAGGATCATGGTTCAAAGCCAGTCCAGGCAAATAGTTACTGAGACCCTATCTTGAAAACACCCATCACAAAAAAAGGGCTGGTGGAGTGGCTCAAGGTGTAGGTCCTAAGTTCAAGCCCCAGTACTGCAAGAAAAAAAAATTATTTTCTATTCACATACATTCAGCCAATAAATTCTTCCTATAGCTGCCAAGTTTATGCACTTTTGAGAAGCTTATGAGAACTCCTTTGCCAAAAGAGTTCCAATGAGCCAGCTTTGGAAATATTGATACATATACAAGAAATCAAAGGAGTAGTGCATGATAACGTATAGCTACTGTATATAAAATATATAAATGTATAACACAAAATATGTATGAAACTGATAAATGAAGGAAATATTTTATCAATAAAATAAAAAAATAATTTTTATGCATAGAATGTATGTTCCTTCAGGAAGGAATCCTATTTTATATAAGTGTAAAATAACTTTTAATTTTCTAAATGAAAAAATTAAAGAAAAAATGGGGGGAAAAGGCAAACTGAAGGGCTCTGAAATGGGCTGACCTATTAGAATCAATGAATAGTAAGATACTTTCTTGAATAGAAGTTTTCTTTTTTGCTCCTTTTAAGGCATATTTTAACTGAGCACCAGGGATATCATTAGAATTTAATCTGGTTCTTTGTCAAAATACCACTGTAATTTTTTTGAGCCATGCATCCTGTCCTGTTTCCCCGTCCCTCCTCCCCCCCACACTCCAGCAGCCTTTCTTTACTTTTTCAGATAGGGTCTCATGCATTTTGCCCTGGCCAGCCTGGACTGCAATCCTCCTACCTAGCCACTGTAAAGTTTAAATCTGGGATTTCATTTTTAAAAATTGGCTAATTATGAGGATTTTTAATTAGCTGACTTTTTCAAATTCCTAGTACTTTTTAAAGCATTGGGTTCTATAAAATGGTGTTTTACTGAAATATTTGAAACATTGTCTATGAAAATAAATTCAAAGTGTTTTTATTTTTGCATTGTATATTTCTCAAGAATCTTGTGATAACTATTTTAGAACTAATTGTTCTTTGCAAGACAGATGAATAGATACATTCTCTCATCTGTATTAACCTAAACATTAATTCCATCTTACCTCCCGATTTTTGTATTCTTTAAAAAATTCCTAATAAATGTAGGTGGTGTAAGAGGGAAAGGGTCTATACTAGAGAAGACCTAAGTTCTAGACCTGGCCTACTCCACAGCCATGAGTGTGTTTTGAACCCTTTGTCTTCTGGATCTTGCCGGCACTGGGCAGAGGAAGTAGCTTTTGGGAAACATCTCATTTGGGAAAGAAAGCACACACACACAGCCTACAATTTAGCACATTTCTGGTGTTCTAACAATATAATACACTGATCTTAGCCAAAAGGCTAGGAAGCAATCTAGCAATATAATAATAACCCAAATTCTATATGGGCTGGTGATACGATCAATTCACTTGCATTCTTTTTTCTTTGGGGGGTGGGAGGGCAGCACTGGAACTTGAACTCAGGAATCCATGCTTGCTAAGCAGGTGCTTTTTACCACTTGAGCCACTCCAGCAGCCCTTTCTGTGTTATTTTTGAGATAGGGTCTCACTTTTTGCACTGGCTAGCCTGAACTGCAGTCCTCCTCTTTTAGTTTCCCACGGTAGCTGGGATGGTGTGCACCACCATGCCCAGCTTTTTCTGTTGAAAAGAGGGTTGGTGGGGAGTGTCTCATGACCTTTTTTGCCCAGGCTGGCCTCAAGATCTCCATCCTCCAGATCTCTACCTCCTGAGTAGCTAGGATTATATATAGGCTTGAGTCACCAGTGTCCATCTCACTTACATTCCTAAAATCCACTCAGAGGTAAGTTAGGATAGCAGTGGTTGACGGGCAGAGGGAAGGAATTTCTCATTCCTTTTTGGAGGTTCCCTTTGGTTCTCGATGAGGAACATGGCTGAAAGCTCATGTTCCAGTCAGTTACATACCTTGGAGATATTTAACCCTTTTAATCACAGTGTCTGCATCTGAAAGGTATAGATAATTACCTATTTCATAGAGTTAGAATAAATGAAATAATGCTTAGCCAGAAGGCTTACACATAGGAAGAATTCAATTTAATTAGTATTTCTTTTTTCTTCTTTTCTTTATTTTTGCTATACTGGAGTGTGAACTCGGGGCCTTGTACTTGCAATACTCTACCACTTAGCCATGTCCCAGCCCTTTTTGGCTTTAGTTATTTTTTAGATAGGGTCTTGTGCTTTTTGCTTGGGCTAGCATTTGATCAAAATCCTCCTACCTATACCTCCTGTGTAGCTAGGATTACAAGGATGATCCACCATGCCTAGTTTATTTTTTGAATGGGGTCTCACTAACTTCTTTAGCCAGGCTGGCCTCAGACTGTGATCCTCCCAATCTCCACCTCCAATTCAGGAAGTATTACTTACTGTTCTTTTTTAGCATCCCGTTCTCATTTTTTTTTTTTCTGTTGAGGTCAAATAGCATTATTAGCTAATCAAATTTAATTTTATAATAATATTGGAGGAACCATGTAGCAGCATTTAGCTATTACTTCACTATTTTTTTCACTATTTTGTTAGAAATATTTTGTATTAAAATAGAACCTTTTTTTCAGTATTTTGATAAGTGCAAATTTCATTTCTTTTACAAATATAAAAGAAAATAAGATTATTGTTTAAATTTAAATGGCTTTTAGTTGCTGAGATAGAATTCTGTACTTTTCCCTGATAAGCTACTTTGGAATTCCTTACCATCAGATAGATTCCATTAGAATGAGGTTTTCTGACAGTTAGTGGATAATTGATATATTTATTTGGGGGCCTCTCTTCTGAGATACACGTGTGGTCTGAATGCACTGTGGGAAGCTGCGTGTATAGTCTACTGATGGAGGTGGGGCTGGGAAGTGCTCAGCACATTTTCTTGCCTGTGGGAATCCTGGTGACTAAGAATTTTCTAAGGTCTTTAGGGAAAGAGCTGGTAAAACCTCAGGAGTCCTTGGTATAGCCAACTTGATTTACTGAGGCCCTTTATTTTAAAGCAACAATGTACAATAGAAATACAGGGTGAGAGTGGGGATGTAGCTCAGTGGTAGAGCACTCACCTAGCATGCACAAGCCCCGATTTCATTCGCAGCACTGCAGGCCAAGTCAGCAGGATCATGAGTTCAAGGCCAACCTGGGCTACATAGTCAGTCAGGCCATCCTGGAATATAGCAAGAACCTGTCTCAAAAAACAAACAAACAACCCCCCCCAAAAAAAATAATAATGTAAGCCACAAATATAATTTCAAACTTCTGGTAGCCACATTTAATAAAATGAAGCAGTATAGGTAAATTTAATGATTTATTTTTGTTAAGCCAATATATCCAAACATTGTAATTTCACTTGTAATCAATATAAAAGTTACTAAGTTATTTTACATTTTTATAGTATTTTGTCATTCCTAGCTCATCTTAATTCAGATGCTAAATTTCATTGGAAATACTTGGCCTGTAGTTACATTATATAAAATATATAGTTGGAAAAGTAGACTCACAAGTTATTACAAATACACCTAAATGTTTTCCAATAATTGGAATGTCTGTTTTAATTTTTTTGGGGGGGGTGGTATTTGGGGTTTGAATGCAGCTTCACATTTGCAAAGCAGATGCTCTACTGCTTGAGCCACATCTACAGGCCATTTTGCTTTAGTTATTTTGGAGAGGGGGTCTTGTAAACTATTTGCCCAGGCTGGCCTCGAACCACAATCATCCTGATCTCAGCCTCACATGTAGCTAGGATAACAGGCATGAGCCACTGTGTCTAATTGTTTAAATATTTTAATACTAAAAATTCAGTCCCTTAAACATGATAGGTATATTTCTAGTGCTCTTTTCTTTTTTTTTTTTAGTCTGCCTTTTGGAGAGAAACATTCAAGGTAGCATTTTCCATAGGAATATATGCCCTGCTCAACTATGACTGTGTAAAAACACACTATTGAGAAAATACAGCTTTGTTTTGCCCACTTTAACTTGATAAGCTGTGGGAGAAATTAGTGTAATGCATTTGAGTTTTTAAAGTCAATTATGTAAGCATAGGTAAAGATAACTAACAAAGGACAAAGAGACCCTACCATTAGGTTTTATCTACAGAAAACACTTTCAGAAGCTTTATTTTGCATGACTGTTTTGGAAATTTTTAAATTGCACTTCCTTAGATTTTTAAATCCATTTATTCTAGAACGCCTGCCAAATTTTATTTGACACGCTTTTATTTACATGCATATTCTTTCCATAACATCTCAAGTATCCTCCAATGCACTAATCAATATATTTAATGCTTTTATCCTAAGTCTTTCATAAAATGTTCAATTTAAAAATACAAACTTATAGCATTATATATACCCAAAAAACAATGAAAATGATTAAAATTTAAGTCTGTATGATACGAATATTTACAAACCATTTATAAAATACTTCTTTGATGTGAATTATACTTCCCTAAATTTTCTTATGGGTGACCAATCTGATTTAAAGATATTAAAAAATTATTTCTAAGGCAGTCAGAATATGGAAGCTGATTAGTAATGATAAGTTGTACAGTAATTAGCTATGATCCTTAAAAGTAATATTGCGGGCACTTGATATAAAAAATAATTCCTCTGTGATAAAATATCATCACCACTGGCTTATAGGCTTTGCTTGGAAAAACATCCCCTTTGCATTACACTTACTACATGTTGTAAACATGAAATGTTGCTACAGTGTGCTAGGTTGTATTCTCTTCCTTCCTAGTCTATAACCTTAGGCATAAGGCATAAGCATAAGCATACCCTGAAACATGCAGGGTATATGTGAGGTTTCATGCTTAAGATTATTTCAACAAATTCTTTATCTAGTCTCTTTTGTGCCTAATGTGGGAAATCTTTTTACACAGTTTCTAATGGCAAATTTTCTTTTTCAGGTACTATTCGCCTGGATATTCAGATACACTTCTGCAGAGGGTAGACAGCTATCAACCACTTATTAACTAAACAATGGTATATTTTTATACTCAAATTTACAGCAGAGTATGAATAACAATTGTTAAAGCTCTTACTAAGTAGTTGAACTAAGAACATTCTAGTTTTATTCAATGTAAAATCCCAATATTTTCTAAATTTATTCAATACTTTAAAAATTAGTAGCTTGAATATATGGGGAGCTATTCATAGTCATCTGCTGTAAAGGTAGATTTTAAGACATTAAAGAGTTTTAAGGTATATGTTATTGTTCTACTAAACCACACACAAATACACAACACATACACCCCCTCCAACTAGATACAGGTAAGAGATGGTGTTCAGAAACCCTTAGTTATTTTGGCCAATTCCTCACAGGCAAGGAGAACTGGCCTTGCAAATTACACAGTAGGATATAGAAGAGAAATAGTGGAAAGAGGAAACTGATGACATAAATGTAGCACCTTTGAAAGAGCCTCTAAACTAACAAATACAGCCTGTGGATAACCTGTCAGGTTTTCTAAGAATTTAGGAAGGCTCTCCACTTTATCAGTTTTGAAGCTGTCTTCCTTCATGAGGCTGCAGAGGGTAGAAGTCAGAATTAAGCATTATACTCTTATAGACATAGTCTCACTGAAAACTTCCTATTCATGATACTTACTCAAGGCAGCAGGAATATAAAATGGGTCCTCAGTATTTCCTTATTCTATGTTCACATTCCCTAATTTCAAAAGTCACATTTTCAGGGATTTAACGAATAATTTGAGGAGAATACCACTGGGTTCAGACTTTTCATGAATTTTCATTTAAGAAGCTGTAACCGTAGTCAAAAGGCATTTCAATAAAAGTGTTAAAACAGCTTTAGAATTGTCCTTTTTATTTTTTTCGAACCAGTGTGTTTCTGACCTTGGGAATCTGTGCTTGGATTTAGTAGTTTTGGTTGATTGGTATGTGTGCATCTTTTGACCTAAATGTATATTCCATATGTGAGTCTCTCCTGGAGGCCTGAGGAGGAAATGAAGGATAACCTAGAGAACCACCAAGGCCACAGTAGGTCCAGTCTGGCTTGTTTTCAGGTTTTCTTTTTGGATTCTTTTTTTTTTTTTAACCTCAAAAGGAAACCACCTATTTATTTTTGGCATTTTTCTGGATTCATCTCTGTATCACTATTTCCCGACAATGCATAGCTTGCATTGAAAACACTGCAGAATCACACATGTGATTTGGGAAATGCATGCATCTTTTAAAATTTCATCATACCCAAGATTGACCATTTCTTTTTTATTTATGTCAGGCTAGGATTGTTAGTGATTCCCTTTTTCTTTTTTGGTGGTGGGTTTGAGGACTTTGTGCGTGCTATGCTAGGCATGTGTTCTGCCACTGAGCTCACCCTAGCCTCCTACTTTCATTTTTAAATACTTCCTTGAGCCTAGTTTGTAGCAATTTCTTTGGCTTATTACATAGGAAAATGTAATTTTTATTCCTAATTTTATAGCTTCCTTCTTGCCTATCCAGTTTGTCTCATGAGCTTTTTAACAGTGTGAAAAAATAAAAATGCTCTTCATCTACCTTCATTAAGACTTTTTTCTTAGATGACTGTGTTGGTAATAATAGAAACTAGTTTACCTAGATTAAAGCCTCCTCATATATTGTAATGGTGACTTTCCTATTATGTGTTCCTTGCCATTGTACTTTGTATATAAGGTTTTTTAAACCTCATTTTATATCTTTCAAACAGTAGTAAACTAAGGAAGCAATCAAATATTTAATACTCTTCAGCTGGGTATTTATAATTTGATCACATGTGTTTTGGAAAAATGCATGCTATGAAATGCTTCTTGACATAGATAAAACACTAAACAATATGAAACTAATTCTTTACTTTTTGAAAGGTCTGTGAAGCTTTTTAGGAATTAAAACTTTGTCATTTGTGCTAAGAGCAAAACTAATGTTTCTCATTTGAGCCAAACTAGTGTTCCTCTGATAAAAACACTCCTGGAGTAAAAACACTCCTTGTTTGAATTTTGCTGATCCCACTTCTCTGTGCCCTGCCCTGCTCCTTTCCCACAGTTTATTTAAAATTTAACTTTTATAAGGATCCAATCTCTCACTTATGTGAAAAACCGTTGTTAGGACTTCAATTCAGAAATAGAATTGGTGGGGCCTTATTATCACAGATGCAGCCAGTTCACCTGTCTGACAGAACTGTCAAAAGCTGGGTTCTACTCACTGGTCAGAAGTAGTAAGGGTGATGATACTTACTCAGCTTCCTCATAAGATGCTTATGAAAATAACCCACAATGGTGCATGTAACAATTTTGTAAATTCTTCCCATTTACACATACCTAATAGGATTTGTGGGAAATCTGATAGTTAATGGCAGGCTAGACATTTTGATCAGCAGTTGTGCAATCCGCCCCACCTCAAACCCCACATTCTTAGATAAGTAGAGTTACAACCTGATGATTTATAATAAAACAAAACTACATTTCCTGCCCTCATGGAGCTTTCTAACATAAACACATTTTCCCAGACACTCAGAGTGGAAAAGCCACAAGACACTGAACACAAAACAGGCATATTTAATTTAGCATGTAAAAACAAGCAACGACCTCATATTTACAGGACATTGACCTGTTTTTCTAACCCTTTCCCTTAAAGAAAGAATGAAAGCTTTGCTTGTTTCTAAAATTGATTTCAAGTCCCTGACCTTAAATTCCTGGGTGAGGCCATCTCCAAGATGTCACGTTTAGAAACTAACCTTGAAAGGTTGAAGAATTTTTCTGTTGTGCTGTCAAATACCCAACCCTTTGATCGAGATAGATGCTAGCAAATGTTGAGCCTTATAGTGCCACAAAATTCACTGTTCAGGAAAAGTTGATTTGTAGCTAATCTATTTCTTTCAGAGATTAAAAGGATCAAGCGACAGTCTCATCTGTAACCATTTCATTTACCAGTTGGTCCAAAGACTTTTGACCTTTAAAATTAGGTTTTCTTATGCACTCATTTTTGTACAAATATATTTATTTTTAAAATTTATTTTGGTGGTACCAGGATTTTGAACTCAGGACTTCATGCTTGCTAGGCAGGTACTCTACTACTTGAGCCACACCTCCAGCCCTTTACTTTTTTACTTTAGTTATTTTTCAAATAGGGTCTTCTGTTTTTGCTGAGGCTGATCTAGACTGTGAGCTCCCTACTTACACCTCCCATGTAGCTGGGATGACCAACAAGTTGCCACCATGCTCAGCTGATTGGGGAGATGGGGTCTCACTGCCGTCCCTTCTCTCCCAAAACTGCAATCCTTACCATCCCCCCAATTCCTGATCTCCGCCTCCTGAACAGCTAGAATTACAGGTGTTGTAATTTCATTTTTAAGAGGCTTTGGAGGCTATAAAATTAGATGCACATTTAGTTATACCACTTTAAAGAATGGTGGGTTTTATGTTTATAAATATCAATAAGTAATCTCTTAAAAATTTTAGATAATATGTGAATGGGTAAAGAAAAACCAAAAACATCACTCCAGGTATCACAACTCAAAATTGTCATCAACAAGTTAACATAATTTCAAATGGCTTTTCTAAACCTTATATAGCTAGGAAAAGTTTTGGAAAAATGTACTCAGGATATACATGGATTTTAAAATTAAAAAAAAGTTATAGCAGTTTGCTTATTTTACAGAGGACAGAGTTTTCACTTTTTCTTTTATCTCAGTGGATTTAGGAAAGTACTTTCTCAGTCATTAATTTGTTTATAAGTATTTTAATTATAAGTGTATTAAAGTTCTTTTTATTCATAATTGATATATTTTCTACAGTGGATTTTAAACTGAGTGCTGGATCAAGAATATTAATATTATCATCGTGGTTTGGTATAGATAATTATACATTAAACAAAGCCTCTAATTTTTCTGTGCATAGAATTTTTGGTAATCCACTCTTGGTAAAATTTCTACTAAAATATAAAATGTATATGTTACTGGTGGTAAATGTTTATTCAAAGTACTCTGGATATAAAGAAGTTCAACTTTTTGAGAACTATTGTAACCTATATTGCATTTTCTGTTTCCATATTTCTGTGGAGTATACAGTTCAACTTAAAACATACAAATGACATTGAAAGGCAAGAGAATGTCATTGTTTTCCCAGTTTTTTCTTAGATGAGTGAAGTGTTCCCTGTTCTCTTGAGCCCCCATGCCACCCAGCTCTGCAGTATGCACATGTTAGAAATAATGGCAGACTGGACTGACTGAGAATTAGGGTTCTAGTTGCCAGCCTTCTCACCATGGTCAAGTCTCTTTCTGTAGTTCTTAGCTTACTAAAATATCCTAGTATAGTATGGAAGGGAACAGACTAGTATTAAAAGAGACCCACTTTAGAATCCCAAAACTACTATACCCCAAGTCAGTGGCCTTGGGCAAGTTACTAATAGCACCCACTTCCTAGGATCCTGAGGATTAAACGAGGGTGAGTGAGCATGGGACTTGATACAAACTAAGCAGTGTCACCATTAGTCTATATGATACCTTGGAATCAAAAATGGTGCCCATCCTCAACATACTTTATTTCTATCTGGCAGAAATTATTGTAATTATCTTATTTTGATAAAGCAAGACACTTTACTGCCATCTGCTGGAAAATTCTCTTTGTAAATATGCAAATCCGTGAGGTTTAATATGTAAACCATGCCACCCAAGAAGTGCTGGTACCCTTGTGTAGTACACGACCTGCACAGCTGTGCACATAAGTGCTCAATAAATTGCATTTGCTGCTCTCCTTTTCACTTTTGTAAATGGCGTTTGGAAGAGAATTCCAGATAAACAGTGCTATCATATAAAGAAATTCACTTAGAAAAGTCAAAAAGTCAAAGTTAATCTCAAAAAGAATCAGCATTTTGTTACAAAGCCTGGAAACATTTGTGCTCACTGCTTCCCTCCCTTCCCATTTCCCCCCCTGAAAAGTATGTTTAGAATAAAGCCTGCAATTTGAGTTAGCAGAGATACTAATTAAGCCATTAATCTTGTATTTATAAATACTGGATGTAAGACCAAATTAGGGGACATATCTTACATATCGAAAACAAAGCATGTTTTGAAAAAAAAAAACATACAGCCTTTACATATTGATTTTAAAAACTGAACCAAAAATAATATACTAATAATCATTATTGCAAGATGGCAGATTTCTAGAAAGCTATTCAGAGGCTCTATTATTTGCCT